GCGGGAGCCAGGGCTGAAAGTTTGGTGATGTGAAATGTGAGGGAGTCGGCTTCAAAATCACGGCATGACTGGGGGACGTTTGGAGACGTGGCAGAGCTCGACAAAGTTTAGACGTCGAGAAGATGTGTGGGCCTTTCTAGTCATGAAGAGGTAAAAAAAAAATAGTTTAAGTACCTCAAAATCATGCGATGCTGAACCTGTAAAATTATATAGTGAGGAATTTTGATGTTCAACTTCCTCAGCTTTGCATTGCTCTTCATAAAGTGTTTGCAACTCTGCAATTGAGTTTCAGTAAGCCTGACTGACGGCAGCGAGGTAGCTTCACGCAAACCTGCACCAGCTTGTTTGTGAGATTCAAAAGATAACCTTCGACACCAGATTAATTGGTGCTAGCTCAAGTTCTCCAGAGCTCCACGGTCCACATAACATAGTTATCGGACTTTAGATCAGTCAAGGCCGACCCAGTATTGTTACAGGAGGTAAGCCGATAGTCCAAGAAAGGTTGGCTTTGTGCTTGTCGGCCACAAGAACATCCGAAAACCCCGGACGACCCGTGGAGGCAGGCTCGTTAAACCGTGTGGGGATTAGTGAATAATCCAAGCATGTTTTCAAGCAACGATGAAAACATGCACCTTCGCCGGGAATTGGCAGAGACAGCTCTATTCTCTGTAGAAAACAAGAAAATTAGGAAACATTGCAAGCAGCTGACGCATAACTAACTATTCAATCTACGAGCACAAGGAACAATAGGGCTGCAATCTGCATGCGATGACCATGACATTTGAAGCAAGAAAGAGCTCAACACTACCGAAGTCCAGGAGCATAATTGGAAAGAAAAGACAAAAGGATAACTTCGCCACACAACTCAGCACGACGCTGTCTGCACTTTACCTAAATGCCAGAAATAGCAGCTCAAATTCTCCCAAATGTCCTAACAGATGCACAATATTCCATCAAACTATTTGTCTGTCTAATCACCCTAGTATCGCGTGTTTGTTTCAATTTACCCAAACCAATACCTTCACAAATTGCAAAGTTTGCCCGGCTGGATTAGTTTGGGCTCAATTACCACCTGCCAGGCAACTCGAAACACAACACCGCCGAATGCGCAAGTCCCGACACGTGGCACCGGTCACCGGCACCCACGCTGTAATTTTATACCGTGCGTCACAATCACACACAATGCGCCAAGTTCGGAGCCGGGGCGATGGAGCGTCCGCCGGGGCCACGGGCCATGCCTCTACGGTCCCAAGCCGCAATGATAAATTCATGAAACACCGTGGTCCGCTTTTTGCGGGGGTGCGGATCATATTTGATTAATTTGGGTTGGTCGGGGGCGTTTTTCGAGCACTGTGTCATCGAGTACGAGCGGCAGTGACATGGCGGCGTGGCCTGTCGGCCGCCGTCCCTGCCCGCCTCGCATGGAAATTTAATGCGAAAATTACAGAGCGGGCTCAGCCACACGACAGCCATGTGATTTATACAAACAAACAGTCCGTGGGCACGCTGCTATTACGGGAGGCGGCCGGGCGGTGCGTCCGACCCCCATCGGTGCATCCACCGCTTCCAGCATGCAGCGTGCATCGCGGGACGCGCGCCCCCCTCTCCCCTCGTGGCCCCGCCCCTGACTCACGGCGTCCGACCTCTGTCCCCATCCCCCCCCCCCCCCAGCGGCGTGAAACGCAGCCCACCACCGGCCACAAAACAGCTATGATTGTCCCGCATCGTGCACGATACCTACATGCAACACGGAAGGGAGAGCAGGAAGTCATTATTCCACGAGGTATTTAAGCGTGACCAGGCCGTCCGTTGCATTAGTTTTACGGCTGAACATCCTGTTCCAGTGCCGTTTTTAAACTCATTGAACAGCTCCAAGCTCCCAAGTAATTGGATTATCTCTAATTAGGCGTGACGCCACAATACGTCACAATCAGCGCAATCTAGCCGTATTCCTTATCATGATTTAGATTTGTCGCGGTGATTAGAACGTGCCCTCTTCAGTGCCGACGCCCCTAGCACGGAGCGCGTCGGTAACGGGCCAGTGGCGTGACGCCCACCGTCACACCGTGACGCCTGCTGGTCACGCCGTGACGCTCTCGGCGCTAATTTTGCTCGCGGCGCCACCCGAGCGGTGTTTTCGGGATATTTTCGCCGATGTTGTTTTGTCCAGCCCGCTTGACAAGGCCGCGGGAAGCGACGTAACCTTGGCTGTCAGGCTGAGCTCTTCTAAATCTGGAGCGAAGTGGAACCAGTGACGGTTCACAAAGCCACCCCACGGACGATGGTGAGTATGATTGACATCTGAGGGCATGAGCCTGGTTTATCGGAGCATCAAAACCCGTCCAATTTTAAGTGCATAGACAGAGCGGAAAATAACAGATGCCATCGGGCATCGAGGATCTCATGGGCCAAAGAGTGCCCTACAGCGCAACCATACTTTCTCTCAAGGATCGCAATGTGTGCGCTGCTATCGTAGTATCCCTCCACGCGCGTGATTGTTTCCCGACGATTAGGAGTTACGTAAGTGAATCAAAGGATTGTTCTGACGACCACAATACGACTCCTCGGGTCATTGACGGCCACTTTCTAAAATCACGAGAAAGCTCATAACAAGACAGCTCCCCGTGTCAATTATGCTCTATTCTTAGTGACTTCTGTCTACTCCATTTCAGTGCGTCATTACAAGCTACTTAGTACGAGGAAGTAACACCGAGACATTACCAGTCGTTACTCAAACCCGTCTCAGCCGGACGAGTCGGGCACTTGGTGGGGATCAGAACTGTCAAACTGATTAAATCTTGAGACGAGCAAATAGCACGCAAAAACTGGGATAGCGAAGAAAGAGAGCGGAAAATGAAAAAGAGGGAGTGAGGAGGGAGAGAGGGCAGAGAGAAGAGAGAGGGGAGGAGTGAGAGAAAAGAGAGAGAGGGGAGGAGAGAGAGAGCGAGAGAGGGAGGGAGGGAGAGAGGGGATAGAGGCGGAGATATATCCATCCAGATCCATGACGCATAAAGCTCCAGTTTGTTCAATGCTTCTTGGCTTCTCATTGCCCCATATTATATCAGCCAAGCCAACACAGCACACCAGCATGATGTAGCTCAGGCGACCTGGTGACCCCCCCCCCCCCAACCCACCCCACCCCACATCACCCGGGTGGTCGCTCCCCACCGACCGCCAACCAGACCCAGTGACAACCATAACAACCCCAGCTCGGCCACTACCGGGGCACTGACAGACGGCGAAAGTGACCTGACGCCGGCAGGTTAGCGCCGACACGCTACTCAGCACTGATAGAGGCGGGACGCGGCGGGTATTAGGGTACTCAGGAGAGGTATGGGAGGTATGATGAGCCTGATTAGCTGTGTGCGCAGGTGGGGGTTAGGCAAACATGGAACTGGGGCGGCTCTCCAGCTGGGTGAGATGTTGGTTTAGGTGGTGAATTTTGAGGAGGCCATGGGAGAAGAAGGATCAGCGGTGAAAGATGAAAAAGTGAAACTGGGAAAAGTGTAATACGAAAGATCCGGAATGCAGAGGGTTTATGTCATTCCTGAAGAGTCCCGTAACAATTACAATAAAAATGAGCAAGCAGCAAAGGAGGAACTCTCGTGTCATCTCATCGTGAAATATCCCAAGTAATAACTTGCGAGCAGCCCGAATCAAATTCAACAAAAGACTATCCATCTGCATAGCTGGCTAGCACATGCTGCAACAAGGTACCCGTTACAACCAAGTGGCAGCTCGATACTGACCAGCGACTACCAACGACGACCAGTAGCCGTTATAAACCACCCAACATCAGCCCCGAGTTTGTTATTCGTGTTTGGGTCCGATCAAAACACACAGCCCTCTGGCCGGACATGTTCGAAGTTCGAACCACCGCCCGCCGTGGGCTCCGTTGTTTTGCCGTAGAATTACAAACGTCCATCACGAATCCCATTATGATGCATATTTGATGGCATCGCGCGGTGGTTCGCGCTACGTGGCTGCTTTCAGCCGACAACAGAACGCGGAAGTAGAAAAAGCGTACCGCCATACCGGCGCGTAATAGCCCGGGTGGGTGAAACAAAAAGCGTGTATTAGTTTGTAATCGATGTTTTATGGTAGAGGGAGCCCAAAGACGGTGTTCTACGGTCGATTCCGATTCGCTTTGAGGAGTTTTGTAGTGGGTTCGGTATAATCAAAGCAACGATTACTGTGGAATCAAATGATTGGGTGCGTACAGTGGATTTCACCCCGCACCATTTCCTTCCATGTAGCGGTTTTTACCGGAATTATATGAATAACTTAGGTAGTTACTAATAAAACGCACACACACAGATAAAAAAGTGATGGTGAAAAAAACAACAAGTGAGAGTGATGGTCGTCGGTACAAGCGAAACGTATCATCGAACGTTGGCCCCTCTCTACCTACTTCTTTCTAAGTAGTATCGCATTCATCACGATCGATTACATCTTAGCCACATTTTGTTGTGAGATACTCGAACGCAAATTAGGAGACTTGCAAAGCAATCACGACCCAACTAATAAAAGGCTAGCGAGTGAGCCCGTTGGACCACGCCATTATCAATACACCTACCACCTGGTGATCAAAGACCTAGGCTCCAGTTCAGGGTAGCCTCTGATACCGAGAGGTGTCGCTAGCAGCCAGCATGGACCCTACACAATGCACCGACTAGTGGCGCCACCATCGCGGTCGTACACCACCTCGGCTCCAGGGGCACTGTCAAAGATAACCGCACTGCACAACAGACAGCTAACTCAACACACTATCCAAACCTGAAAGGTAAGTTCCCTCTTGTTGCGATGTCTATCTCCTTCGCATCTCCAACCAGCCCAAACCAACCAACTCAGTAGAGGTTGCCACCCGCCACCCTCAGTAGTCAGTAGGGCTGACCGTAAACGTTATATAATATGTGGCGTTATATAATATGTGACGTTATGTAATACATATGTGCACCCAACCAACCCTAAGTTAGCCACCATTCCACCTCACACCGTACCTGATACTGTTTGAGTTTGTCGGTGGCCTCCTGCGTTGACCTGAGGTCGAGTCTGAAGCTGATGGGCCCCAGCTGACCGTCCATGTGGTGGAACCACTGCTCCAGACACCGCACCTCGTGAGCGATGTCTGCCGGGGAGAGAGCGGGGAAAGAGGGAGAGGGCGGTCAGAGAGGGAGGCATACGCAGCACGGAAGGTGAATGGCATTCAACATGTAAGTACCCAATTGTACAGGAGATGAGCGGCACACACCAAAGGCGCTCCTAAATCGACTGGCGCATGCGGTGATAACCGAAAAATCCGTAAATCCCCCTGTTCCAATCTAACCTCAAGGTCACCTTACACCTCTTTGAAAATCCTTTAAAAATGCAAGACATGAGACATGTAGGAACTAGGAACATTAAACACCATCACATCCATATTAACGATAATAACAGTCATTTATTTTCCTCAGCTACCGTGTCAGAAGGCTATCAGCAGCTCGGACAGCCCATTGCTTTAATACCGGCTCAATCTGCACAGTCGTTTGGCAGCGGTTTTCACACAAATATCCGTGTCTGGAGGAGAGGCCAGTGAAAGATATTCAGGAAGCGGGTTCCGCGGTCTGAGGGACCCTGCAGCTGCTGCGGTGAAGACGCGCCCCAGGGCGGCACACCTTAAACTGTCACGCTAATCTTCATTAATGGTGCGGAGTTTGAAGAGAAATACACCCATTGCGGTGTATAATAAATGTGAAATTTGCTGATATCCGTCAACAGGATATGTTCCCCGCGCTGCAGAGAACAGGGCGATTGGTCTAAGCTGCTGGAAAGTAGCTACTGCGAGCTGACGGCAGTCGAGTCTTCGCGCAATGGCGCACCAGCAGAAATGAACAGCAGATAGCATAGCGCTAGTTCAGCAATATGATCGATGCTTTTACACGATTTGCGTAGGTTATCAAATAAAAAACGTTGTGATATAAACTTATAAAGTTGGAATATAGAAAATGAATAAAGGGCACATTGATCGTCTGCATACCTATATGATGAATCAAACAGCAAAGCATGTGACGATGGTCTGTCCGAACGTATGTATGTATAACTATAGACTATGGCTATTTAGCAAGCGGCGTTCTCGAAGCAGGGAATGTGTGCTCCTATGGGGTCAGATGGGCGGAACGATGGTTGCATTGATTATTTTAGCTCAGGTGTCCATCAGCTAAAAATAATAGTTCCGATCTTCCTTGTACATAAGATATTTATTTATTGCATATTTACAGGCTTCATAATGCATAGATCTTCAAAATATATTTATTTACAGTGGCCCACAGTTAACTATATTTGTATTCAAGTAATCGTCCTCACAACTTCTACTCCTCATCCCCCTCAGTCGCCAATGGGTACACAAGTGGGCTCCGGTGGCGCCGCCACAAACAGATCCGAGATAACATTGGGGTCGATCAGCCGACACACCTGACCCCGCGGACAGGGCAGGTCACACTCCACACACACACCCTGGTCCAGTTTAACCTCACAGTGTGCCCGCGGCCCGCACTGGAGGCCCTCACAGGACGCCCTGCAGCGCGGCACACCGTGCTCCTTGACACACTGCTGACCGGACAGGCACTGCACACCGACACAACTCAGTTCCGAGGAACAGTGAGACTCGCCGTTGGGCTCTTGGATACACTCATAGCCCGGCTTGCAGACAGTACCTCCGCACTTTGCGCCGGCACGAGGGATACATCCGGCTAGGTCGTTCCTCACGCGGCACACGTGATCGTATCGGCACGTGGTGTCAGCACACGTGGTCGTGGTGACGCACTTGGCCGCACCGGCGAAGAGATGGCACGTGTGCCCGGGCGCGCACCGCACGTGTTCACAGTCTTGTCGTTTGACGCAGCTCGGCGCCGCTCCCTCCCCGCCGACAATACGACACTCCTGGTCGTCAGGGCAGGTCAGGTCGTGGCAGGCGACGCTCGGGACGCATGCCGCCGTACCGTTGGTCGTAGCACAGGTCTCCCCAAAGCCGCACGTCAAATCGGCACAGGTGAGACGTTTGACGCAGCGCGCCAGGCCGCCCAGAACACGACACTCGCGGTCAGCGCCGCGGCAGGAGACGCTGTCACACGAGCGGCGTTTGACGCACCGCACCAGGCCCTCACCGGTGACACACTCCTGGTCGTATCGGCACCGCAGGCGGGCGCAGGTGCGCTTCGTGAGACAGTGCGCCCGTCCGCGCACCACGCGGCACTCGCGGTTACCGGGACAGCTGCGTTGGTCACATAACGACGCTTCAGAAGATTCTTCATCCTCAGCTACAGCATCCTTGACCACGGTCTCTTTCACTTCCTTTCGAAGCCCTCCTGCTGTCTTCGCCACCTCTCTTCTGGGCTGATCTGCCCCGGATGCCACCGCGGCCAGAGAGCCGGCCGCACACAGCAGCAGCGCAGCACTCCGAACCATACACGATCTCATGGTGGAGCTGATCAGAGAGCGGTGGCTGATCCGACCAGACAACAGCCGACCGGACAGAGACGGGATTTATAACCAGTCGAGCAGCCGCCCCGCCCCCGCCCGGTGAACCGCCCCCGCCCCCGCTCGGCGAACCGTCCCCATCAGCGCCGGGAGTCAAGACTCCGACATTTTTTTCAGTCGGGGAGGTTTAAGCCACGTCGGATCGTAGATTGATAGCGGTCAAAATGCGTTGCTGACGAGATCCAGGATGAACGTAGTGGAGGGAAGGAAATCCAAGTTTGGATTGGTGTAATACCTAGCACACAAAAAACGAAAATCAGTCTTCCTGTCCAAGCCACTTCTTCACCGCAGATTCACTTTAGAATGGGTCCGCACAAATGTCACAAAGAGCATTAACATTCTGTTTTTGAGGCGGTGGAGTCTTCCAAAAGCATGCTTGAAATATGAGCGGAGTAAGCCGATCATCAGCAAAAGCCGCATGGCACGACTAAAATCGGTTTACCGAAATTGATAATGAAGGCAACATAAACTGAAATCCAATCAGCCAGCTAGGGATACGACAAATAACTCAACAGTCAGAAATTGGGTCGATCTTTTCAGCTGATGTGATCGATAGATTCTGCTTAACCACATCCCGGAATCTTCGAATGCCATCTGGGATAAGTACCGAAACGATGAAACCATCATGTCAATTATCATGAACTGTCATAGAACATGACAATAACCACGAATACAGATGTGCCTTAATCATCAAACTATTTTTCCGGAAATACTTTTATCTTTTTTGTTGTCGCTTTTCACAAATATATCGAAAGTGTCCAAGGATTTTCGAGATTGTCAGTCACATGACTCATCAAATACAGCGGAAGAAATGCATTGAACACTACACTCAGATATCTGGTAAGATGCATCGAATTGTAACATTTTTAGCGAATCTTACTGAAGTGGGTCATGGATGCGAATATCTCATGGACATCACAAGGTCAGCTGCCTTATGACAGCAAATGGGGCATACCAATCGCACGAGAAAACGGTCCTTAATGATGTTAAAATATGGAATTCTACAATAACCCGAAACGAAAAGTGTTACACGAACGCGATTAAATTGTGAAATGGATGATTGTTGTGTAGCGGGATTTCGCGGCGTTGCGGGGCTAACCGGGCGGTCGCTTCTCAGCAGGTGGGCTGGCTCGAGTGGGGGGTGTTAAAATCGGCCTAGTGGGTGCGCTTCTACTCGTAAAAGCCCTTCTCGGTTCAGCCCCTCGCGAACTCGTCCCGACTCTGTCTTTGCATTCTCCGGGGCGATCAATCATCGGAAACACATAGGCCAGGGTTAGGGAATGGGAGATAATGATAAATGATAATCAATTACCCTCGATCATATTGGTATAGAAAATCAACTCTATTTAACAAAAAGTCCCACTCTCAAACAACAGCGCCTTTCCTAGCTGAGGGCTATCTCCCACCGGATATACACAACAATCATACTTCCACTCGTGCATCCCTTCTCACTTCTGTCATACGTCCAGTTATACCTCATAATTATCAGAGTTAGCCGTCTCCGATCCCTCCCTCTTTGCCTAACTTCCCCCGGTGGTGCTAAGGCGTGCGCAAGTCATTATTGAGTCATTGGCCTTAAATTTCATTAACCGTTATCCCTTCATAACCACAATGCTCCGTACATCAGACAAACGCTTCATAATGCTCACGCTACACGAATAGAATATACGAACCACCACAGATTTCGGCACTCCGCCCTTGAATTACGCGACTTATAGCGGGTCCAAGACCATGCCGAACTACCTACACACAAATAATAAACACACACGCACGCAGGTTGTTGAGCGAACAATGGACTTACAGCATGGGCCGGTAAACCTTTGCAACAACGTACGCAGCCCTTGTCTTACTGCCACTCACGCGTGGACCTACCTTCTGCTGCCAGTGGTCAGTCAGCATCTCTAACACACTCCAGCCCACGGTTCCGGAGCTAGAGCTCGCAGGGCACTCAGTAGCCCGGGCTTTCCGCGGCGGACGTATCTAAAATTTGAAAGCCGGGTTGGGTAACTAAAGTCCGTCCGTGATACTAATGACCGCATCTCGCACCAGCCATAGTTCAGGGTTTCCGGGCCAACCCGGCGACCTAAAAAAAGGTTAGCTCTCGTCGGCTAACTACAAAGACGACACGCGTCTTCCACGCACGCAGGTCCACTCGGGGATATCCTGCACTCAACACACATCGTCGACTACCAGCACATAGGCGTCCAAAGCCCTATCTATCCGTGGCTGGTAGTTAAGCTGTCGTCACAGACCTATTCGAAAGGACCAGAGCATGGCCGGAGCTACTCGACTGACTGCGGGTGGCCAGCACCGTCTGACTGCGATCACCCGACTCGAATGCTCGGTATCTAATGTTCACCCCCGTCTTGCGGCATTATACGTTCCTTCGCGGGGCATTACTCTTCCGGCGGCATACGATTCCCTCGCTAAGACGCCCGGGGTCCTAACCACCTCCGAAACTATCTATGTCGCTCTTCAAATGACGTCCCGCGCCGACCACTTGAGGGACCGATAGCGGGCCTACCTATCTTTTTGAAACCGGGCTGGGTAACTAAGGTCCATCCGTGATACTGATGACCGCATCTCGCTCCAGTCATAGTTCAGGGCTTCCGG